AAACACATCAAAAGGTTTTTCTTTCTTTGCGGTCATAACGTCTGAACATCTTGCGCTTCTCCATTTATTCAGAGCATCCGAGTAAGAGATCAAACTGATGTGATACTTGCGTTCTGTCAAGTAAATGGGCCCATTGTCTCCATGCAGAGCTGTAATTTTCTCTAATGAGGCCCTTGATATATGCTGCGTGTGTGGCACGGATGTGGCTAGACGTATTTATCGTGCGTGGCACATGTGGTTTGTGCTCGTTTGTGTAAATAAAAGACATTCTGTTGATTTATTCTAACAAATGCACATCAACCCACTTTTTCAGCTTGACTGTGCCTGCAAAACTAGTTTCCCTACAGAAAGTTTGTGAATACTATGAAAACTAATTAACGTTCTGATAGATTGCAAATGCATGATCATGAAATAATTAATAGTTATTAATAATAATATTACTTTGAAAAAAAAAACATATTGAATTTCCAAAAAGTGGAAAAAACTGTATGACTGACTAAACCACATTTTATTGGAATGTCCTGCTTTAATTATATTAGGCAATATTTTTATATTACATTAAAGGATTTTTTTTTTTTTAAGTTTCACCTGGGAAAATATTAGAATTGTAATTAAATATAAAATTGAAATATTTTATATATTATTATTATTATTATTATTGATTTTTGTTTTGTTTATTTGCAAAGTTAATATTGTTAAATTATTGTATACAATTCATTGAAGTATTGTTATGATTACATTTTATTACTCTTGATTTTGCCATGAATATAGCCTTTTATAGATAAAATGATAGATAAATTAAAAGTAAACAAATATTACTTTGAAAATCTAATGAAAGATGTAATGTAAATTGTTATTATTAATAATAAAAAAATATTAAATTATTTTTATTTATTTATCTTAATATTATTTTATCACTTTTTAACATTTTCATTGAGAAAATTAAGCCTATTTAGCCTATTTTATTAATACTTTTTGCATTTATTTTCATGACACTTTAGTACATTTAATCCCTCAAATTCAATTTTTTTTTAGTAATTTGAGTTGTATTTTGAGCTGTATTTTATTATTCTCACTGTTTGTAATACAGTAAAATCTAAACAATATTTCTTAAGTATTATTAATAATAAAAAAATATAACATTATTTTTATTTATTTATCTTAATATTATTTTATCACTTTTTAACGTTTTCATTGAGAAAATTAAGCCTATTTAGGCTATTTTATTAATACTTTTTGCATTTATTTTCATGACACTTTAGTACATTTAATCCCTCAAATTCAATTTTTTTTAGTAATTTGAGTTGTATTTTGAGCTGTATTTTATTATTCTCACTGTTTGTAATACAGTAAAATCTACACAATATTTCTTAAATCAGCACATGTTAAATACATACTCATGATGTATAACAACTGTAAAAGTAAAACAAATATATACATTTTTTTTGCATTACGTAATGCGACTGCGTGGGGAAATGTAAATGACAAATGTGAGCAACAAGCAAGCAAAAAGTTAATTTTCTGTCATAAATCATAAAGCCTCGTACCCCCAAACCAAAGCCTGGTGATGAAGTCGAGTAATCAAAGAGCAGAGAAAACAGCATCCGACCACACATTTTCATGAGCGCAGTCACGCCATGACATCAGCGCTCATCTCAGAGATTGTCGCCTTTATTGACTGCAGTAAAGCTCATGCCAGCATGTCTTTTATCATCAGCTTGGGAGGGCATGATATCATCTAGCTCAGCGTCAGCTTCCCGCCACCGGATCATGTTCAGAGACGAGCAAAATATTTATTCAAACAAGAACCATACGCACACCTCGCTTATTTGACATGCAAGAGACGGCAGTCTTACTGTCCGTGGTTTTGGTTTATTTTCTCTACTCTTCTTTATACGAATATTTTCCTTTTTAGTTTCTAAATAGTATCAAGACTAAGCCTTGTTTGAAGACTAATAAAACTTCAAAGGAGAAAATTAAACCTAACTAGATTTGGCATTTTCTAATTTAAAGTATATAGATACTGTATATATTTTTTTAAAATAAAACAAAAAGTGATTTCTTTAAAGTGATTGCCTGGGTGTTGCTATGCTGTTGTTTGTGTGTTTTGGGTGGTTGCTTTATTATAGCTTATTATTATATATTTTTATGTTTTATAGAGAAAATTAAGCCTATTTCGAAAATTTTATTAACACTGCTTACATTTATTTTCATGACAATTAAGTGTATATAATTGCCCAAATTCTAATTATTTGTTTGAATTTAAAAAACTATATCTTTTTTTCAGTAATTTGAGTTTGTAATTTTTATTTATGAGTTGAGATCTATTCTGAAACTATGGGAGCCCGTTTCCGCCACTGAATAAAAATTTTTAAAAGGTAATTGCGACTTTTTATCTCACAATTCTGACTTTTCTCTCAGAATTGCATGATATAAACTCGCAATTGCGAGAAATGATGTCAGAATTGAGTGTATATAAATATTCTGAGAATATAAATATGCAATTCTGACTTTTATTCTCAGAATTGTTAGATATAACCTCACAATTGTGAGTTAAAAATGAAGAATTGTGGGATATAAACTCGCAATTCTGGCTCTATGTATCTCGCAATTGACTTTTCCTTGCAATTCTGACTTTTTCTCGCAATTGCATGATATTAACTCTGAATTCTGACTTCTTTTCTCAGAATTGTGAGATATAAACTCGCAGTTGCAAGTTGCCAATTCTGAGGGGAAAATGGCTACTTTCTTACAGTTGTGAGTTTATATCAATTCTGAGAAAAGAAGTCAGAATTAAGAGTTAAAAAGTCACAATTACCTTTTTAGTTTTTATCAGTGGCTGAAATAAGCTTCCATTTGAAACTCTTTGAGACGCTGAAAGTCTCTTTTTGATCTCCATTCTGTCTCACTGTCTTAGAGGAACAGCCACTAAAGAAAACATATTTTTGCTTAGATATTTTGTAATTTGTGCCCATAATGATTTTCTGCTTCTCCGTTGTGACATTAATATTGCTTTCTCTCATTTCAGAACGCTTCATCATGGTCTCTTCACTTTTACTGTGAGCGAGTGAGAGATTTATAGCGTTTGTTACGACTCCTCGTAAAAACTGACATCATGTGGTACGGCCGGTTCAAATGGCAGAGCTAACAAGATTTTTAAAATATTTCTAAAGATTTTCTGAAGATTTGCTTATGCAAAACTCACTGCTGTGATGCTCAGGGTAGAGTTAGGTTTTTCCTATGCTGGTGCTAGGGTGTTCTAAGTGGTTGCAAAGCTGTTGCTATGCAGTTGCTAGGGTGTTCTAAATGGTTGCTATGCAGTTGCTAGGCTGTTCTGGGTGGTTGCTAGAGTACTGGGTGATTTAAAGACATTGCTATGATGTTCTAAGTGGTTGCTTGGGTGTTACTATGCAGTTGTTACTTAGGGTGTTATGGATGATTTTAGAACATTGATGCTATAGTATTCTAGGTGGTTACTGGGGTGTTGCTATGCAGTTGCTAGGGTGTTCTGAATAATTTTAGGGCATTGCTAGGGTGTTCTAGGTAGTTACCAAGGCGTTGCTATGTGGTTGCTAGGGTGTTCTGAATAATTTTAGGGCATTGCTAGGGTGTTCTAGGTAGTTACCAAGGCGTTGCTATGTGGTTGCTAGGGTGTTCTGAATAATTTTAGGGCATTGCTAGGGTGTTCTAGGTAGTTACCAAGGCGTTGCTATGTGGTTGCTAGGGTGTTCTGAATAATTTTAGGGCATTGCTAGGGTGTTCTAGGTAGTTACCAAGGCGTTGCTATGTGGTTGCTAGGGTGTTCTGAATAATTTTAGGGCATTGCTAGGGTGTTCTAGGTAGTTACCAAGGCGTTGCTATGTGGTTGCTAGGGTGTTCTGAATAATTTTAGGGGCATTTCTAGGAGGTTGCCAGGTGGTTAATAGCATTCTGGGTGGTTTGTAGTACATTGCTAGGGTGTTCTAAGTGGTTGCCGGGGTGTTGCTATGCGACTGCAATTGAAAGTGTTTTGAGTAGTTGCTAGGGCATTTTAAGAGTGTTCTTGGTGGTTGCCAGGCAGTTTCTATGTACTGTAGTTGCTAATGTCTTCACAGTGGTTTTTAATATGTTGCTACGAGGTTGCTAGGGTGTTGCAGATCCATAGCAAGACTGTGCTGGATGAGTTACACTCCAAAGTTTAATACTAGTATGAGGGGTAGAAAAAACAACTAAAACAACTTTCTTCTCTTACAGACTTTCACCCCGTCACGTCTTCTTTCTCACTCCATCACGTTGTTTTCTCTGCTGTACAGACCCGCTTTGTAAATGTGACCAGTCAGCTCCACACTTTGTCAAGGGGTCAGAGGTCAGTCCTGAAGGCATCATTTGTTCAGAACACATGGCATTCCTCTGCTTAAATTAGCTTGTGCCCTAACGAAACCTGTCGAAACAACTGTTCCAGAGGCCCAGAACAAAGACGTGAGGAGAAAGTCTGAAGCGGTTCATTTGAGAGCGGACAGCGACACGAACACCAGATTTCTCAGTGTACATCAGAAGCTGCTGAAAGCATGAACACTTCAGATGTTTTTGCATTTAATTGAAATCAAGAATCTTTTCTGGACGACATCTGAAGACCATCTTCATTTTTGGAATGTTTCGCTTGAAGGGAAGATTCCCAAACATGCTGATCTGCTAGTTTTAAATATTTACACTACGTTCAAAAGGTAAGCGCTTCTGTTTTGCGTTGTTGCATTGCCTCGCCCTGACCGAAAGGGTCACCCAGGGGTCTCCTGCCGTCTTAGCCGTCCCGCTCTTATCGCCAGGCTCCTCTGTTCTCAGTCAGAGAGGAAGTTTTGACAGCCAGACTTTACAACCTCCTCTCTCCCTGCCTGTGCTTTGCACATGCTCTGACAGAAACTCCGGTCCGGTGACTTCATCCCTCATTCACTAAAGCTTCCCCTCCTCCTCCTTCCCTCTCTCTCTCTCTCTCCGGCAGCATGCCAGCCGTTTTCCTCTTGCTGCGCTCTCTGGTTGTCAGTCTCCTCAGTAGCCGATTAGCAGCCTCTGCCGCGCAGCTCCTTCGCAGAAGCCTGACGGCGGCTGCTGGGCACCTCGGCACCGTGCTGCGCCACATCTGGGAGCGGATCAGTTCCCAGGAGTCCAAGGAGGCCATCCTGGGCTGCGTCCTGTGCATTCTCAACATGCACAAGAAGGTGGACAACTAAATTCAGGAGGAACGAGTACAGTTTGGACTTTTTATTTGTGATTTAGAAGAGCTGAACGAACCATGTCGGAGAGCATCGTGAGGAAAATCCAACCGTTCACCATCGGGACCAAACTCTCGGCGCCAGCCGTGCCAAAGTGCTCAGACTTCCCCGATGGCTTTCTTCCAAACCGGACGTTTTCGGATAACTGCACACTGAGGCACCTGAACAAACAGGTGTCTCTTTATCTCGGCCGCGACAGACACTGCAGACCCGCGGCGAAGCATCGACACAAAGAGATGTCCGACGACCACCTGAACCGAAACACAGTCTCCCCACCGAACGCTGCGTCCAGATCCATCCGTAAGATCACCATCTCCAGCCGAATGGAGGCGGCGAAAGACAGACTGACTCCAGGGATGGAGCTGAAGAAAATAAGAGCAAATTCTGAGAATATTAATAACAATAACAACATCACAACCTCCAACACACAGCTGCCTAAAATAGTGGGTGTCAGCTGTGAGAATAAACCCAGCTCACAGTTTAAGGTAAGACACACTTATTTTAATTCATTGGTAAAAATTTGAACTTCACAAAAAAGAATCAGAATGAAAGTAAATGAAAATATGCAAATGAAAAAAAAAAATCACATTTATATTCATATTTATTCATCAAATGATAATAATCAGAACGATATTATAAGGTTGAAGGAAAAAAGTTTTTCGTTTTTGTTGTTTTATGTGATGTCATCATTGCTTTTTAACGCAGGCATACAAAGAGTATTAAGGTTATTAAACATAAATCCCTAGAACTTTTTTTTATTACGTAATTTGTAAGTAAAAAAATTAACTGTTGCTATCCTGAAAACCTGAAAGGTTCTTCTTGTTATACCTATTATTATTATTATTAATGATTAAATTAGCATAAAATGCTTCATAAATAAGTGCTTTTATAGACATAATAAATGAATGAACAATGTATGAATGAAAATAATGTTTTTGATATTTTTACTGTGCTTATTATTAGGTTTAATTTAATATTAAGACAAAAAAAGGCACAAACCAAAATCTTAATATAGATATTTAAATTGATATGTGATTAGTAGAATAAAAAAATAAATGTTTATGCATCTATACTGTTTATAAATGTATGCCACAGAAGATTGAAATTTGACATTTTAAAACATTACAGTAAATATAAAAAAGCCTGTAAAATGTCATGCAAGTGCAGTAAACATTTAAACATTGATATATGGAGTTAAACATGCTTACATAAACTACTCAGGCCAATAACATTGTGTTACCGAAATAAAATGGCATGCCCTGGTTTTGAGGAATCTTGTTTTTGCTGTTGTTTAGCAAAAGCTTCCGTAATCAAAACATAACGAGATGCCATGGAAACGGCGAGACACAAATATACTATTGAAGCCGATCTCATCCAGGCCCATGAAGTCATCACTCTCTAAGCTTTAATATTAGTTCATCCGAGTCCACATGAGCTGATAGGCGCGTCTTACACAAGCTGGAAAAGGCAGGAGATGAATGCGGTCGTGTGCTCAGGATCTGTGTGGTTCAGATGATGTGTTTATTATGTAACGCTGCTCTTCCTGGAATCACTACGCAAGTTCAAATGATGTCAGCTTCAGCTGAAAGGCTCCATTCTGTTCAAATCCACCTTCAGGATTCAGTGTGTGTTCACTCGGGTTATGTTTCATGTCAATGGGTCAGCAGGAGAAAAGCTTCTGGGTATTTATACTATACAATGTATAGATATACAGTGGGCTCAAAGTCTGATACCACTAGTCAAGCTGCTTCCATTTTTCTCATTTTTATTTCATTACAAATCATATGATCGGTATCAGTTTGAGTGAAAAGTTTCAGGATTTCTTAGTATTAGTTTTGTTCTTAATATATTAATATAATAAAAAATGCAAAAATGTGTATTAATATATAAATATATGATTAATAAAATTAATGCATAAATTAAATAAAAATGTACTTCATGCATGTTATGTTTTTATTGTATGTTAGTGTGTTAAAAGTACAGATAATCGGTTTGAGTCTTGAAAAACAAAACCACAATATTGTCCATCTCAGATAATGGATATGAATCATGACAGCTCAGTGTTTATGTCTTTGTTTAGGTGTTGCTGTGTAAAGATGGTGAAAAGCAGTGCAGTGGTGACCGAGAGAAATTCACTCCTTCTCCACAGGTAACTCCACAGATTTACTAGATTAACCTTTATGACAATATTCTGAAATGACTGACAGCACAAGATATGATGTTTTCATCATTCAGATTCAGATTCAGATTCGCAGTTAGTCTTTGATTTTACATTTATGCATTTAGCGGACACTTTTATCCAAAGCAATGAAAACCAAGCAAACCTTTTTAACGGCCTAATCTATATATATATATATATATTTATATACAAATATCATCATCTTCTCATTCTTCTTATTAAAATATTTATAAAATATTTTATTATTATTTTATATATAAAATATATTAATATATATTTATTTTAATATATAAATTATTATTGTTATTATTATTATTATGCATAGAAAATAAAATATACTATAATATATAAATATGTAATAAGCTTTTTAGTGGCCTATTTCCTATTCATTTTTATCTTAGGGATTAAAAAAACAACAACTTCATTTTAAAGCCATGAACCAAACAAACCAGCTCTGAGATGAATTGCAACATCAAAAATTCTCATTTGAAGCCAGAAATTTGGAAAATTGAAATTATTTTATGGGTAAATTATTATTATTATACAACTATTGACTTTATTTTATTATAATAAAAAAAACTATTTATTAAATTTTTTTTGAAAATATTCTAATATGTACAAAAATTTATTTGATTTTATCATTTGAACCAGTGTTATTTTAGAATAACTGAGGTGCTATTATAGGTTTTTTACTTTTTTTTTTTGTTTGTTTTTATTTTTGTGTTCCATTTTCTTTAATTTTAGTTTTTATTAATTTTGTTGTGTGTTTTTGTCATCTTTATTAGTTGTTTTTTTTAAAGGTGCTGTATGTAAGTTTTTGACTGTACTAAAGCATAAAAATACCATAACAACCCTCTACATTGCGAGTAAATCACTCGCATATGCGACTAAATCTTCACTCTGGGCGACTAAATGATGTCTAATATTAGCCAATTGCTAATAAATTCTCAGATTTTACTCGCCAGTGTGAGTTGGAGGCTAAGTATAAGTTTAGCTCAGATATATTTTCACTCGCCGAACACTCTCTGACTGAGCGCATGAGAGTTTCACTCTCCGCCAAGCGATCTGTGCTGTTTTTCAGTTCATCTGAATGGATGTGCAACGCACCTGTATTTAACGTACCGTAAACTCTAGTGTGAAGGCGCACGACTCGCCTTCGCTTTGTTTCACACACACGCAGAGAGAGAGGGAGACAGAGAATTGACGCGCTACCTATGCGCTACATGTAAACGATATTATTTGTTGTATTTTGCTATGTCTGTCTTTGTTTTGGTTTGTGAAACCCGCCCACTGCCAGTTTAGCCAATTGTATTTCGGCACCCCGGGTTGCCAGTTGGCGAAAAACACAGCGTATTTAATTTCATTTCTTCGTCAAGTGCGCTCGTTCCTGTTGGTGTCGTCAATCTGGCAACCTGCGTGTGCGTCAAGTCTGAGGCGGAGGGGCCGGGTGAAAAAAACCCTCTCCAATATTTTGAATTTGGACTGCAATACCTAGTTCAACCACTCGGTGTCAATCCTACATACAGCACCTTTAAAATATGTCTATAATTTTTAATTCATTTTTATTTCAGTTTTTAGTTCATATATAATTTTATTTCAGTTAAAGTTTATTTTATTTCAAGTAATCAACTTCTTATGGTTTCAGTCAACTATAATAACCCTGGTTCGCAGTGCATCATGGGAGTGAGTTTTTTGTGTTTCCATGGTAACAGCGACTTCTCTCATTTGTGAATTATGCGCATTGCGGTTCATAACTAGGTATTTGGATTTAAACAATCTCAGAGCTCAAACATTTATATGCTATTGTTAAAAATCTATTTCTCTACAGACAAAATGAATATGTTTTTCACTTCCAGGACACGACTGTTGCGCTCTATGCAGACTTTTGCGCAGTAAGCCAGTGGTATTATAACTGCATCATCTCTCTGTCGGTGTATGGGTTTGCAGGTCTTGTACTTCTTGTTCCTCGACTGCTGTAAAAATGTCTCGAGCACACGACTGACCCCAGACCTGAAGCAGAATTTAGTTTTGACCGTGAATTCCCTCTTGAGTGGTTTGTGTTCAGCCATAGCCAGATGTATATAAGATAATGGGCTCTTGGAATTTAGGAAGTGATGTCAGTGGCGCAGCAGGCCAAGCCTAAACGACTTATTATTTTAAGTGTTCATTTGGGTTTAGCAGAGGAAAAAGCAGCGGTGAAACTTTTACAGCCGTTTTGGGGTAATGTGAGTCGAGGCCCTTAAAAAGCGGACCGCCCTTTGATGAGACGGCGGCTGCGGTCGGGGCCACCTGCGCACAGTGCTGTTGTTTGCGAGGCACGATGCCTGCGAAATAAATGTTTACTCGCAACATTAAGGCAAATCAGCACTCAAAACAAACCAGTCGCATCCTGAGTGCCTGCGGGCCAAGCCTTGAGTCATCTGCGATCGGGCGCCTAGCGGATCGGGAATCTTTCCTCAATGCCGCCTTGTGGAAAACATGAGGTCGTACAGGATGGGGATGACACTCAGAATCACTGGACATGGACGGGACACACCAATCCAAATGATGGAGCACCTCCTTTAGATTTACACACGGCAAAAATCATTTTCTTTATCAGTGTTTTTGCCTTTTTTTCCCAGTAAAAATATCTAGTAGTGCATAAAATGACTTTAGAAGCAACATTTCTTATGATATTCAGTTTCTTGTTTGTTCAATTAGGTGTATTTTGCTTCAAACATTGGCAAATTGGGTTTTCTTATAAATGTGGAGTGTATAAAAATTTTTTTTTGTTTTTTGCTTAAAACAAGAAAATATTATTATGGCAACAACATGCTCAATGTCACAAATTTTGCATATTTGTGGCCTTTTTTAAACATTAATTTAAAAAATATTGCATAAATTATATAAATAAAAAACTGTTCAATAGCTATTTTATAATTTAATAACATTTATTTTTATTTTATACTTTCAAAAATAATATATACAGAAAATATACTATATAAATAAAAACTTATTTTTTTAAATGTTTAAATTTATTTATAATTATATATGAATATAACGAATACAATATAATATACTCTTATTCTTTATATATGTGTTATTTTGTATCATTGAGATACTATTTTAAATTTTTTACATTTTTGTATTTTCAGTTTTTTTATATTTGAATTTTCTGTTTTTATTTATTTATTTTTAACTTTGTGTTTTTGTCATTTTTATTATAATTTTATTGTGTCTGTATAGGTATTATTAATTTTTATTTCAGCTGTAGTTTTATTTATTGTAGGACATCAAGATACTAAATGAAAATGAGAAATATTGCTTTAAGTTTTTTTATTTAAGTTTTTTTAGTTTATCAGTCACCACTGATAAGCTACTACTAAATATATTGTAAAAACATATATTGTACAGCTGCATTGCAACGATTTTTATCATGAAAAGCACTATACAAATAAACTTGAATTGAATTGTTTAAGTAAAATTTTTTATGGTTTAATTTTTTATAAAACCCTTATATATATATATATAGTTATTATTATAATAAGGATAAACAAATGGTTGATTGGTTGCATTAACATCTCAAGTAAATGCATTTTTTTAAAGAATGTTTAATAATAGAAAACAAGACAAAGAAACAGATGATGATTTTTTTGCAGTGTAATGTCTCTGCAACACAAACATATGATCTCATCTTTTATTTATGAGTGTGATGATGTGTTGATGTAATTGGCCGCCCTTTCCCAACATCGGCACAGATGTTTCCTGACTTTATTCAGTTTGTCAAATTTTTTGAGCGCTTTAAATGTGTCCTCACCGCCATTATCGTCACCGGTTGTGCTGACTGTGGCTTTTGGCTATATAAGACTGTCTGACATGAGTTTGCAATGGCTTTCTGTTTTGGACAGTTTTACACACCGCCACTAGCATCTAGCAGGGGCATTTTTGCTCCCTTATCTTGAATTTGTGGGCATTTGTCTTCATTTATTGGCTTTTTTTTTTTTTTTCCACAAGCCTGTGTAAATTTCTCACCTGATTACAGACATATGATATTCTGATAGACACGTTAACAAGTAGTATTCAGTTAACCAGTGTGTTTTCTCATTCCTTTCTTATACAATGTGTTGTTGTGGTTGAATGAATGATGCCGATGAGCTGCTCTTCCTCACTCATAGTCATCAATGACATAATCACTGTGGGAATTTAGTTTGTGGTTTTGTGGTCCTGTGTTCCAGTGATCTGAAATGACCTTGTTTCTTGCCCGGACTTGTTTCGCAGCTCTTCCATTCTGTGAGCGTCTTACTCTCAATATAAACTCACAATGACATCACGCAAGCTTCTCAGGCCCACCAGCACAGTGTTTTAGCTTGTATATATTACCAGTTTTCCCCATGAATAAGTGAGAATTTCATACTTCTTTCCACACAGACCCAGATACTCAAAACCCAAGCGAGAAAGGACGTGGTGGACAGTCCCTCCTGCGAGCACAAAGACATGTGCTTGGCTTCAAAAGTCTCATTGGTGCAAAGTGACCAGAGTTTTACTCATCAAAACACCATCTTCAATAAGGAGATCACTCAGGTATGATCACTATACTCTGTCGATGAAAATCAAGACAGATTGCTGTGAAAGAATAGTTCACCGAATAAAAAATGAAACCATTCATTTTCTGTTATTCATTTGGATTTTATGCATTTGGCAAATGATTTTATTACATTAAAGGCATGCAAGGCATTTGCTTAAAACAAGAAAAAATCAATATGCCAACAACATGCTCAGTGTCACAAATTTTGCTTATTGGATTTGAGACATGAATTAATAAATAAATAAATACAAATATTTTATTTATTTATTTAGAGCATATATATATATATATATATATATATATATTTATGCATTTGGCAGAATATTTTCTTTAAAAAAAAACACATGATATGCTTTCCTGCAAATTATACTAATTTGAGTTAACATATTAAATAGAATTTAAATGGAACTTTTTATATAATAAATACTTTTGTATAATATAAAATTTGTATTTTATATAAATAAAATACAATTTAGATGATATATAATTTTTTGTAGCATTCTACGGATATAAAAATAAGATGGAAATTATATGAAATATTTTATTTTTGCATAAAGAATTTTTTTTAAGCCCATTAATATTTTTACATTCTGACAATTTATTTTAACAATAACAAATTCTGCGATAATTATTTTAAATCAGCATAAATTTGTAATTAAGTAGTGCAAATTATACTAACAATTGAAATATAATTTTTAATTACATAAAAACATTTTATAAAATAAAATATGTATTTTATATAATATAAAAATACAATTTAAATAATATATCATTACTTTTTTTTTTTTAGAATTTTATAGAAATCTAAATTTGAGGGAAAATGAAAAGGTTGGGGGAGCTTGCTTCATTTTCTTTATCCAACATTTCTTATTTAATTCTTCTTGATTTGGGGTGAAATCAATCCGTTCATTCATTCACCATTCTTTTTGCTTCAACTTCTCAGCTGAAATGTAGTCTTTGTTTTAATATTTCTAGCATCACTAGAACGACATTGTCTTAGTGTCTTTTGGATAGGTGGACCTGTGTTTGGTCACTTTCGATTTTTTCCAGCTAAAATGAATCGGTTGAATGGTTGCATCACTAATGTGAAAAATTACACTTGGAGTTTACAGACCAAAAAAAAAAGCATTGGAGATAAAGGTGGAAACAGTGTGTCCTGGCCCTTCTGACCCCGTTCAAGCCCCTCTGTTTCTTTTCTTTCGCTCTTTTTGTCTGAAGTTGGAGAGAGGGCAGCACAGAGGAGTGGGAGGGAAGGGAACAGCCACAAGAGGAGCAATTATTTTGGGATGAGCTCATTGTTTGGCCCTATCTATTCACGCCTCTGGCCTTCTGAGACTAAACCGAGCCGCTCGAGCGCTCGCGTTATCACATCTCCATGCTCGCTCTGACATACAAGGACATTTTTCGGGGATATTTGCTTCAGGACGCAGCTGCTGCTCTCTGGTCCGACTGTCAGCAGCCCGTGTAACCTGTGAGATTTACTGAGCTGAAGTGAAGTGGGCAGCACAGTGTTTTAGATGACAGACGAGCAGCAGGACTCGTAGCACGTCATTAATGTTAATAGGCTGTGGAAGCGCTGCCATTTGTTTAGGAAATGGCCTTTGGATGAATATTCGTGTTGAGCAAAGCCTCCATCTCTTATGGGCGATTCGGTTGACTGATAGCACTGATGAATCTGTGTTAGCGTAGCATTATAGAGTCAAGGATGTGGAAATTGGCCTGTGTTTAAGAAAGGTAAATTAAAAAGTCAACACATCCTCCAGCGTTCTTTAGGATTGCCCTATAAAACCCTTTAGGGATTCACATAAAAATGGGTTAATTCTATAATTTCTATAATTAAAAGAAACCAGATGTTGTTTTTTGTTTTTTTAAGGAAATGTGTTTGCCTGTTTAAAAGTTGCACAATGCTACTGTGTTCTGCAGTTGCCAGGGTGTTGCTATGGAGTCGCTGAGGTGTTCTCTTGTTGCTAGGGTGTTGCTAGGTGGTTGTTATGGTAGAACCCCATCATGTTTTTATGATATTCTGGTCTCTAGATATGGCTTACGTCTTTCCTTAAATATACAGTACAATACCGTTTAGAACTTTTTAGAATTTTTTTAATACATTTATTCGGCAAGATGCATTAAAGGGATAGTTCACCCAAAAATGAAAATTTGATGTTTATCTGCTTACTACCCCCAGGGCATCCAAGATGTAGGTGACTTTGTTTCTTCATAAATGCTGTTCTTTTGAACTTTCTATACATCAAAAAATCATGTAAAAATGGTTTGATCATTAATAAAAATCAGAAATGTTTCCTGAGCAGCAAATCAGCATATTAGAATGATTTCTGAAGATCATGTGACACTGAAGACTGGAGTAATGATGCTGAAAATTCAGCTTTGATCTCAGAAATAAATTACATTTTAAATATATTCAAATAGAAACAGTTATTTTAAATTGTAATAATGTTTCACAATTTTTTTTACTGTTTTTACTGTAGAGTTTATGAAATAAATGCAGCCTTGATGAGCAGAAGAGACTTCTTTTAAAAACATTAAAAAATCTTACTGACCCCAAACTTTTGAATGCTGGTGTCTCATCAACAAGACACATACTAATCACAGGTATGAGGAAGAGTTTTCACTTTAAATCAAACATTTCCTAACTGAATAACCTGTTAGATATCAGTTTCACAGTACAGGTTCTCCTTTTGCTAATTTCCTCAAAGAAGGACGTTTGAAAACCTGCATGACCTCAGCCGGAGGTCTGCTGATGGCATCTATTGCCGTATCATTTCACCAAAACATTCTGTATGATTTACACAATGTTTTTTTTTAAACAGACTATTGTTTTAAAGGGAAGTGGAAGAAACAAAGTATGAAGTCATGGGTTTCTCGTCACGGTGGGGTAGAAATGAGACGATAGAGCTGTTTACACAGGCCGCGAATATTGAAATACCTTTGAGCCTGTGGGAAGCCATTAAAAATAATGGCTGATCTTTTATTAGAAGTGACATCATATTATTTTTTATCTGCACTGTGAGATCTTGCCAAGCATTGTGGCGGGTTTGTTTTTCTTGTCCACATGTGATGTGTATCTCCTGCGTGTTTTTGATGTGAGAAAGTTTTGGCTTGATACTGAACCTCTGAGACCACGATAAAAATGATATGATCAATAAGTCATGGCAGAATATGTATTTTCATGACTTAAAATATTTGACCAATTTCAACTTCGTGTTTTTATGTTTTACTCAGGTTATAAAAACTGAAACTAAAACTGAAGCCATAAACAAAAAAATAGGTTACTTGAAATAAACATTAACTGAAATAAAATAAAATAAAATATAACTTTTTTTTTATTTAATCTCTTTGCCAAAGCAAGATTTCTCATTTTAAGTAAGTTTAACTTGATGTACTAAAATAACTCAAATTAAAAATGAAATAAAAATTAATAAAATATATATACATTTAAAAAAAAAAAAGGAAAAACTATTAAAATGACGAACACACAACAAAATAACTAAAACTTTAACTAGAATTAAAACTAAAAAGATAAAAATAAAAACTGATTTGAAAAATATTTTACATTCGTTTAACTTGATATACAAATATAGCTAAAACGGAAATAAAAATTAATAAAAAATAAAATTGTTAAAAATGACAAAATACGCAGCAAAATTACTAAAACGAACTAAAATTAAAATAAAAGGGAAATTAAAATGCAAAATATTAAAACAAAACAAAAATAAAAACTGATTAGAAATATTTTCCATTAGTTTAACTTGATATACAAATATAGCTAAAACGGAAGTAAAAATTAATAAAAAGTAAAAATATTAAAAATGACAAAACATGCAGCAAAATTACTAAAACAAACTAAAATTTAAATAAAATGGAAATTAAAATGCAAAATATTAAAACAAAAAAATATAAAAATTAAAACTGATTAGAAATATTTTCCATTAGTTTAACTTGATGTACTAAAATAACTAAAAGGGAAATAAAAATGAATGAAAACGATATAGACATTTTAAAAAAAGCTATTAAAAATGACAAAATTACTAAAACTTTAAATAAAATTACAATTAAAATGGAAAATATAACAATAGAAACTGATTCAAAATATAAATAAAAACTACAATAGTATCTCTAATACTAAACTAACGTCTCGGTTACGTATGGTAACCCTCGTTCCCTGAAGGAGGGAACGGAGACGTCACGTCGGATGACCGACGAAATTGGGATCTCGCTTAGAGGGACCAATCTATCTCGAGTGTAAACTAAACGAGCCAATGCACATTGGCATGCGATTATTGCATCCAGCTGCTGCTGATCACAGCGTGAGTATAAGTAGGCAGCAGATGCACCGCATATTCAGGTTTTCGCTGAGGAGCCGAGCAGGTGACCCGGCCGCTCAGCGGTGGTACAGGAGCTGTGGCGACGGGACGTGACGTCTCCGTTCCCTCCTTCAGGGAACGAGGATTACCATACGTGACCGAGACGTTCCCTTTCAGTCGGTCACTCTCGACGTCACGTCGGATGACCGACGAATTGGGATCTCGCATAGAGGGACCAATCTACTTCGAGTGTAAACTAAACGAGCCAATGCACATTGGCATGCAATTATTGCATCCAGCTGCCGCTGATCACAGCGTGAGTATAAGTAGACAGCAGATGCAGCGCATATTCAGGTTTTCGCTGAGGAGCCGAGCCGGTGACCCGGCCGCTCAGCGGTGGTACAGGACCTGTGGCGACGGGACGTGACGTCTCCGTTCCCTCCTTCAGGGAACGAGGGTTACATACGTAACCGAGACGTTCCCTGAGATAAGGGAACGAGCGTTGCATTGAACGCTTATGGGGAAACTCCTGTTTACTCTGATACTGAAGCCTGATTTGTTCA